TCAACAATTCTTTAGTTATTTTTGTTTCGTTGGAAAACAACACACTTTCGAAGACGAACTGTGGGAAAGGAGGGGAAGGGGAAAATAGAAATTTCCAGAAAGAAACAATAAAAATAAATAAATGTAATAATTTATATGAAAGGAGGAAAAAAAAAATTAAAAAAAGGGAGTAGGAGGGAGCACGCGGAGAGAAATGAAGAGTAGGAAAAAAAAGGTTTGATTTGATCAATCGATTATTTTTATTTTTTTTTGTTTTTTCTCCCTCGTGCTGGAACTGAACGGTCCATTCCAGAAAAAAAAAAACTTTTAGGTGATTTATTAGCAAAGCAATAAAACCGATTCCAATTGTATATAATGGATCGATAACATTCATTTACTTTCATTTACGTCATTTTTTCTCTCTCTCTCTGTCTTTCATCCACACTCGCACACGCACACACGCACAAGCTCTCTCTCTCTCTCTCTCTCTCTGTTTTTAATTCGCTTCTTTTTTCTCCTGTCAGACATAACGATTTGCCTTGGAATATCCGTAAATTCGTGTACAACCAAATACTCAGTTTTAATTTCACGTCAGATCTTCAGAAGGTGGAGCCTTGGTCGAGAAGTAATTGGTCTCACACTGATCTACCAAGACTTCGAGCCGGATTAATGGGAGCTCAGGTAAGACATGATAATATTAATAATAATAAAAAAATCAGATTAAAAGGAAGGAGAGAGAGGGAAGAAGAATAGGGAGGAAGGGAAAAGGGTCCTCCTCTTTTTTTGTATATTTTCAAATGATTTAAAACAAAATTTTCAATTTTATCTCGTTCGGGTGCGAACAACAAATTGACTTATTCAAATCGATAGATTATCAAATGGATTAACTCGTTCATCAAATCAACTCGACCCGGAAACGATAATGATAATAATAATAATAAATATATTCCTGATAAAAAATATTTTTTTTTTTTTTAATCTATAATTAATTAATAATTGACGAGCTAATCTTTAAAATTTTCGTTAATACGTTTTATGATTAAAAAATGTCATTCGTAGTATGACATCAAAAGATAATGATGATGATGATAATAATAATTACTTTACCTATCGAAATTTATTCCACTAGCATCGATTTTAAAACTTTTGATTAAAAAATGTGTATATAAATAAAAAAACACGCGACGTATATTTTTAAATATTTTTTGCTGTTGTTTAATTATTAAATTTGCTAACAGGCGCAAAAAAAACGATTTTAAAACGTGGAAATCAATTAACGGTTTTTTTTTTTAATTCTTTGATGTTTACAAATGATTTTTTATTTTTAAATTTAAAATATATATATATATATATATATATATATATATATATATATATATATATATATTACCGTATATTAAAATTATTACCGAGAGTCAAAAAAGTTTTTTTTTTTTAAAATTAAACAACAACCTCCTGGAGGAAAATTTCATTGCGAGCCGCCATTTTTTTTTTTTTGCCGTCATCGTCTTTGTTTTTGTTTTTGGTTGATGGCGGCAAATGTTTTTTTTTGCTATACGATGGCAGTTTGTTTGTTTTTTTTTTCCTCGTTTGAGATTTATCGAAGTTTCTAGAATTTGATTTTTTTTTTGTCGTTGGGAAATTTACATTTTAAGGATGACAATAAAAATTTTATTATTACCCGACAATGAGCCCTCTAACCTTTTCCGATTTAAAGGTTCGACGAAATTAATAATGTAAATTCAATGTATATTGTTCCTATATATATTTTTTTTTACTTTGTGAACCTTTTACGTGCCTTTTTATATTTTAACCACTCGTAAAAAAAAAAAATTTCCCTTAAACCTTTTTTTTTGACCCTATTGGAAAAAGAAAAAAAAAGGAAAACTCCTCTGATTAAAATTTATTATTATTATTATTTTTTTTTTTCTTTTTTTCTTTTCTTGTATAATAATTTTTTCTCAATGAATTTTCTTTTTTTTTCCAACCATTAAAAGGTTTTTTCTTTTACCTTTTCTTTTGTTGCCTTTTTTTTCTTTTTTTTCTTTACTCAACAGCTTTTCTCTCTCTCTCTCTCTCTCTTTCTTTTGTTTTTCTTTATACATCATTCTTAAGTAGTTATTACTTTTTTTTTTTTTGCTCTCTCCCTTCGTTTTTTTTTTTTTTTTGTGTGAAAGTGTTTGAATATCACGCCCGAATAATTTTCTTGTTTTTTTTTTCAGTTTTGGTCAGCTTACGTGCCTTGTGAAGCTCAAGGTTTGGATGCAGTTCAATTAACTTTAGATCAAGTTGACGTCATAAGAAGACTGACGGATTTATATTCGGACCATTTAACGTTTGTCACGACGGTTAAAGGAGTCGAAGAAGCTCATCGTAATGGTAAAATAGCGAGTCTCATCGGTATCGAAGGGGGCCACAGTTTGGGTAACAGTTTAGCCGTTCTCAGATCTTTGTACAACTTAGGGGCCAGATATTTAACAATAACACATTCTTGCGACACTGCCTGGTGAGTTAAATATTATCATTATTCTTATTAATTCGAAGATCCCGAAAAAAAAAAAAATTTGAAATTTAAATGTAAAAAAAAAAAAAAACATTTTGTGATTTTTAACGGTTTCAAAAAAGAAAAGAAATGAAAAAAAAGAAGAAAAAAAAAACATTTTAATAAAATTTTCTTTAATGTTTTCCGTTCCGGTTTTTCCGAATGAAAAAAAAAATAAAAAAAAAATTTTAAATTTATCCGGAAAAGTTTTTTTACTCAGCAAAATTTTCTTTTAGGAAAAATTTAATTTAGCAAATTTTTTTTCTTTTTTTTTTTCGATTGATTTTACCTCGAAGCAAGAAAAAGGGGAAGGAAGGGGAAGGGGGGAAAAGAAAAACCTTTTCATTCACAGTCACATCGAAAGGTTTTTACGAGTTGCACTTAAATCCTTTTTTATACCTGTCGGAAAAACCTTTTTCGTCTTCGTTGTGCGATCAAATTTTCATTTAAATTTTTTCCTTTTTTTTTTTTTTTTTAATTCCAGATGATGTTAAATTTTATATATTTTTACGTTACGAAAAATCGTGGGGAAAAGAAAAAAGCAGAAGAAAATGTAGCCGCGGGGCGCGGGGTGGAGAGGAGGCGGGGAAGGGGAAATTGATTTTTTTCTCTTTTTTTTAAAAAAATTTGAAATCGAAAAATAACATAAAAAGCTTCCGATTCGTTTTTACAAATTTTTTTTTTATTATAAATTACGAACTCGGAAAATTTTCTTCCACGTTGATCTTTTCTTTCCTTTTTTTCTTTCCTTTTTTTTCATTCCTCTTATTTCTTTCTTTCTTAAAGATAATTGCAAAAAGAAAAAAAAAAGTAAAAAATAAAAAAAAAAATTCAAATAATTTAGCTAATCTCGACTTTTTACAAAATAGAAAAAAAAAAAACTTTTGCTTCCAGTTAAAAAAAAAAAAAATAAAAAAAAATTACACTCTGGAGTTTTAAAAATGTTTCGGGAAATGGGCGAAAGAGACGGGGGGAAGGGGAAAAAGAGGAAGACTGGAAAAATTTTTTTAAATGGGAAAAATACCAAAAAAAAAAGAAAACTGGAATGAGCAAAAATGAATTAATCAAGTTTTTCCAAAAAAAAAAAAAAAATCTCGTATCATATAAAAAAAAACTTTAAAAAGTTGCGGTTGTTAAAGTTTTTATTTTTATTTTTTTCGTGGGGGGAAGGAAGAAAGAGGGGTAAGGAAAAGAACCCTAAAGTCGCGTGGATGGGGAAGAGGAGAGGGGGTGTGTGTCTCCAATTTTTTTTTTTGTAAAATGAAATAATTTGTATAAAAATTTTTTCTTATTTTTTTTTTATACTGATTTAAAATTAATTACGTCATCGTGTCACTTGTGAAAAATTTATTATTATTATTACTATTGTGGGGTTCTTAATGCGGGGGCGGATTAAACAAAAAAACCGCCAAAATCGAAATTTAGGTTTTGAAAAGAAATTTTTACTTTTCGAAATCAAATAAAAAAAGGAAAAAGAAATTTAATAAGGTGACTTTAAGGAGGAGGAAAAAGGGGAGGGGAGAAGAGAGGAGGAAAAAGGAAAAGGAAAGTAAAAAATCGTGGAAGAAAAGATTTATAATTTTAAAACCGCCCCTTCGGAAAAAAATTATTATTATTATTATTATTACTTTTTCTTTAAAAATTTTCATTTTCAATTTTTTTTTATATTTTTTAAAGGCGGAAAATTTTTTTTTCTTTTTTTTTTTTTTTTTACTTTTTCTCTAGTTCGAAGACTTTTGTCAGATTAATAAATTTTTTTTTAAAAAAACTTTTTCAGTTTTTTTTTTGGGGGGGGAGTGGGAGAAGGAGGATATAAAAGTTGAGATAAAAAGTTTTTAAAAAAAAAAAACTGAAAAAGTCATCGAATGATCATATTATGATAAAATAATAATAATAATAATAATAATATTATAAATATCGGTTTAACATTTTTTTGTTTATTTTTTTTTGGGGGGTGGAGGCAACAGGGACTACGAGATGAAAAGTATAAAAAAAAGGACGAAAAATAAAATGGAAATGCTAAAAAACGAGAGGGAGGAAGGGAGGAAGGAGAAAAGGGGAGGAAACAAAATGAAGAAGAAATTAAAAGAAAAAAAGAAATGAAAAATATGAAAAAACAAAGCTTAAGAAAAATATCCGCCATGTTTTATGCGTGTAGTCGTGGTAATAGAGTTTATTAAGTGTAATTTTTTTTTCTTTTTTTTTGTTCTTTCTTTCTTTCTTCCTCCACTTTTTTTTTTTTTTTTAAATTGAAGAGATTTAAAACTAATGACACGAGAAAATAAAAAAAAAAAAATTTTCGCCATTTTTTTTTTTTTTATAATTCGGGAAACGTTTCTTCTCACCGCAATTCCAAATGATGAAAAATGGCGGGGAGGTAGAGGGGAGGGGAAAACAAAACAAAAAACGTCGTTATTATTATTATTATTAAATGTTTTTTCTTTTTTAAATTTAAAAATTATTTAATTACCGAGAAAGAAAGAAAGGAAGAAAGAGAGAAAAAATTAATTAATTAATTAATTTCGCATGACGAAATGATTCATTCGGAAAATTTTCTTTTTCTTTTTTTATAATAAATGTACATATTAATTGAGAAACGAACTAGAAAAAATTATTATTATTATTATTAAGATTTCGTTTTTTTTTTTTTTGTAAATTAATTATTATTATTATTATTATTATTATTTTTCTGTTCATTGTCGTTTCCTTTTTCTTTTCCCCATTTTCTCACATTTGTTTTATCGTTACCCCCTTTTACCCCTCCCCTCTCCCTCCCCTCCCCTTAAAGGATCGCTAATAATTTTCCCCTTTTTAAAATATGCTAAAAAAAAAAAAAAATTGAAAAAAAGAAAAAAATGGTTTAAGTCGATCCAATAACTTATCGTAAGTAAGACAATCTTTTATTTTTTTTTTCAGTTAAAGAACCGGAAAAAGTTTTTTTTTTTTTTCTAAGAGAATGATGATGCCCTTGGGGGGGAAAAATTTTCAAAAAAAAATTTTTTCTTTATTTATTTATTTTTTAATAATAATAATAATAATAATAATAATAATAATAATAATAATAATAATAATAATAATAATAATAATAATAATAATAATAACTTTCATCAAAAGGCAAAACTCCAAAAAAAAATTATTTATTATTATTATTAAGATTTTTTTGCACGTTTCGATTTGAAATTTCATTCATATTTTATTTATTTATTAGTTTTAATTTTTAAAACAAAACTAAAAACTAAGAACTATAAATAAAAGTTTTCCTACTTTCTAAAACTATTAATAGAAAAAAGAAAAATATTGGAAAATCTTGAAAAACATCCAAAAAAAGAAAAAAAATCGTGGAATCAGTCAAAAAAAAACTTTAATAGGAAAATATGTTAAATAAGTATTTTTCGATTTTTTTTTACGTTCATCCTCCTCCTCTACATCCCTCTCCCCCTGTTTTGTTTGTTTTTTTATTGTTTTAAAATTTTTTGTTTGTTGTTGTTGTTGTTAGGGCAGACTGTTGTTTGAGTGATCCGCCAGTTTACAATTTGGGAGAATCTCATTTACCTCATAAACCGGGTCTTTCCGAATTCGGAAAGGTAAGTTTTTTTTTCTCATTTATTTTCTTATAATTATAATTATTATTATTATTATTATTATTATTATTATTATTATTATTATTATCATTATTATTATTATTATTATTTACATTAAACTTTTAATAATAAATTAGGTTTTAAATTAATTCTCGTCTTTAAGATAAGAAGATATTTAATATTTTTTAATATAAATAATTAAATTTTTTCTATTTAAATCTCATCAAAAACAAAAACGCACAAAAAAAAAACAAAAATGAAAAATAAATAAATAAATTTAAAATGGCTCCGGGGTTAAAAATTATTATTTTTTTAAACGTTAGCCCTTTTTTTGTTTGTTTATTTGTTTACGCAGGAAAATGTGCCTTCTGCTGCTAATTCGCGATTATTATTTTTAATTAATAGAATTACAATAATAGTACATGAAATTCTTCAATGTTTTGCAATAAATACGTTTCCCTTTTATTATTATTTATTTAAAAAAAAAAAAAAATCCATTATCGTTTCGACGAAAGGTTTTATCGGGGGGAAGAGGGGGGTGAGGGAAAAAGGGCGGACAGAAAGGAAATTTTGATATTGAATTTTATTTATGCTTTAAAATAAAGATATGATACAAATATATAAATAAATAAATAAATAAAAAATTGAAAACAAATTGAAAATATTTTGACTTAAATCGATTTCTGGAAAGGTTTTCTCTCTCTTTCTCTCTCTCTTTTTTAGATTTTTATGTTTTTTTATGTTTTTTTAGTTTTTTTTTTTTTTTTTTATTCAAAATGAATCAGTTCAACGAGTTGAAAACCAAAAAAAAAAAAAAAGAAGAAAAAAAAACTAATAATAAAAATTCAATAGCGTAGCATTCATTTAAAAAAAAAAAAAATTTCTGAACGCGCTTTTCGAGTGACGTAATCATTAACGGTTTGTCTCAGAAATAAAAAAAAAAAAAAAGAGTAAATCAATTTTTTTTTTTTTTTTTTTAGGGGGAGGGGGAAGTAAAATTCTTATCGGTTTAACGATTCAATGAATTTTTATGCATTATGTATTATTTAAAATTTTGAGTATCGTCGCGAAAAAAAAAAAAAAAATGGAAACGAATAACAAAAAAAAAAAATAAAATAAAAAAAAAAAAAAATTTTATCGTTTCGTTTTCCCACGCGATATATTTATATAAAATAATTCGATTATAAATCCTGTTGATTTTTCAAATGTAATCTTTGAGTTTTTAAATTTAAAGGGACGACCATTACTAAATCGGGGGTATTTAATTTTTTTTTTTTTTTATTCACATTTTGTTTAGTTTTCCTTTTTTTTTTTTGAGTAAATCCTCCATTTTATTATTATAATCGAAAATAAAAATAAAATTTAAACGATTATCATTTTCCTTTCGCGCAAACCGATTTATACCGAATTTATTCTCGTTTAATTTATGCCATTATATTTTAGTAATAAATAATAATAATTTTTTTTTATTGCAATAACGCCAATCCCTCCGCCCCCCGGTAACGAGCATTTTAAATTGTCGTATTAATTACTAAATGGATTTTTTTTTTTAAATTTTAAATTTTAAATCGCGTTAATTACACACACTCGAATCACGGAAACCCGAAATTAAACCAAAAAAAAAAAAAACAAAAAATTATTAAGTAAATAAAAATTCAAATTGGCAACGTTGCAAATATGATTTCTTTTGGGTAAACAAAAATAAATCGGATTTTAAAAATCTAAATGACCGTCTTAATTCTGATTGGTCGAAAAATTTTGCTTGTTGATCAGATGACCTATCCGATGTCCGACGATGATTTTATTTTTTTAAAATGAACGTATTAACGCATATATTAAACGTGGAAAAAATTGTTCTTTTTATGTTTTTTTTTTTTAATTGTTTTTGTTGTTTTAAAAATGATAAACGTAAAAATTTTTATTTATTATTTTAAAAAAAAGGATAGATCACGTTTATGATAAAAGGTAATTATTTTTTTTAATGCAGAAATTTTAATTTTTGAAAATAATAATAATATTTCGGCATACGTTTGTCGTAAATTTATATAAAAAATAAAATATTAGGACAACTAACAAGATGAATATTAAAAAAAAAAAATTATTAACTCATTATTCAAAATCCTTTTTGAATTGTGTAAGAAAAAATCATTATTATTATATTTTCAATAGGAAATATTTATTGTATAGATATCATTTAGAAATCGATCGATGATTATTGACATCGTTTTTATTATTTTCAAAAAGAATTTTTTAATATTAAGAATAATTTTTTTTTAATTAAAAATTATAAAAATTGAGTTTAATAAAAAGGATGAATAAAGAAAAAGGAAAAAAAAGCAGAAGAGCAAATTTTTCATTTGATTACGAATTCTGAATATTATTATTATTATGGGGGGAAAAATAGGAGGTAAGAAAAAAGAGAAAAATGAAAAAAAAAAGGAAAAATAAAATGCATTAAAAAAAAAGAAAATTTAATTACATTTTGTTTTTAATTTTTAATATTTATTAAAGTATCGATTGATCGATCGATCGATTAATTTTTTTGATTTGCAATAAAAAAAGTTTTTAAGTCGTGTGCTAAAAAAAAAAATCGGTTTAGAATTTTTTAGAAAAATAAAATAATAAGTTGAAAAGAATTATAAAAAAATTGAATAAATTTATCAAAATGACTTTAATATAATAATAATTTTCTTATCAATTATTAGTTTTATTATTGTTTTTTAGATAAGGGAAATTTATATGAAATATAACCCTCCCCCTCTACCCCTCGAAAAAAAAAATAATAAAAAGTTATTATCGGATATATTGAGTTTGATATATAAATAACACATAAAGATATATTACTTTTAACTTGAAACATTTTTAAAATGATAATAACGACGATAATAATAATAATATGGCATCCGGTTAATATTATCAAAAATTGTTTAAGGCTCTTTTAAAGCCCCCCGCCCCCGATTTTTTTTTACATTTCATGATGTAAAGAAAAAAAATTTTTCGAACAAATCAATAAATAATTTATGGATTTATAAAACCCCAATTAATTAATTAATTAATTATTATTATTATTAATTTTTTTTTTTCAAACAGTTGGTAGTACGTGAAATGAACAGATTAGGCATGATGATTGATTTATCACACGCATCTGTTAAAACAATGAAAGATGCATTGGCTACAAGTCAAGCGCCCATTATATTTTCACATTCATCAGCACACGCGTTGTGTAATTCATCTGGTAACGTACCAGACGACATTCTTAAATTAGTGGTAAGTTATTATTATTATTATCATTATTTATTTTTGCTACAAACAAACAAAAAAAAAAAATTACCGTTTGTCGTCGTCATCGAATCTTTTAAATTTTAATTAAAATGAAGCGAGAAAAAAAGTCATTATTATCATTATCATCATCATTATTACTATTATTATTATCATTATTATCATTGTCATTATCATTATTATTATTATTAATTTTTTTCCCATTTCCCTCGTTCCCACGAGTTAACAACGACGATGACGGCGAAGACGAACTCATTTTTAAAATCATCATCATTATTAATTTTTTTTTTTTTTTTTTTTAACGAATAATAAAGTAAAATGGCGAAAGAGAGAGAGAAAAATTTTTTTTTTTTTTTAAATTTTTCAATCCATTAATTTCGAATCGAAAATGGTTCGATAATTAACTGTAAAAGATTGACAGTCATTTATTTTCTTTTGAATTACAACAAAAAAAAAATTTTTTTTTTTTTTTTTTAACGAGATTTAACGAAATTTGTCCGACATTTTGTTTTTATGTTGTTGTTGTTGTTTGAAATTTCAGGCCTTAAACGGTGGTTTAGTCATGGTTAGTTTTTACAATTATTTTATCACGTGTACCGATTATGCAACATTGGATGATGTTGTCGCGCACATAAATCACATAAAAACAATCGCCGGCATCGATCACGTGGGTATCGGTGCAGGTTTCGATGGTATTAACCAGTGAGTATTTTCTTTTTGAGAGAAAAAAACGTGTCAGAAACGTTTTGTAATAAAAATTTATTATTATTATTATTATTATTATTATTTTCGTTCGTCAGCACTCCCGAGGGTTTGGAAGACGTATCGAAATATCCAAATTTACTCGCGACACTTTTAGAAGATCCAAAATGGTCGGAAGAAGATGTTAAAAAATTAGCTGGATTAAATTTATTAAGAGTTTTTTCACAAGTTGAAGAGGTATGAAAAATTTTATTTTATTTATAGAAAAATTCTATTTCCACTTTATACTTGTATAATTAATTAATAGACGACGTGGAAAGAGACAGTCGAATAAATAAAAATAAAAAAATAGAAAACAATTCGCGTTTAAAAAATATTAAATTTTTTTTCTTTTTTGTTTTTGTTTTTGTATTTTTGCATTAATTTAACTTCCGTTTCCGGTTTTACGTTTTTTTTTTATTTATGAAATTTTATTTTATTTCCGACTCGTTGTTGTTTTTTTTTGTTTTTTGGAAAACTCCAACGTTTTTATTTATTTATTGACAACCTGTCACTTATTTAAAGTCTTTTTTTATTTCAAAATAAAAAAATTTTTATTTTCTTGTTTTTTCTTTCCTTTTTTTTTCTTCCTTTTTCTTTAAAAAAAAAAGGAAAGAAAAGGAAAGGAAAGCCAATAGAGATATTTTTTTTGACAAAAATAAAATAAAATTGACGTTGAATTCTTTTGAACATTTAAAAAAAGGAAAAAAAAGGAAATGAAAAGAATAAAAAAAAAAGTCAAAAAAGTGAGAAAAAATGTTTTCGACTATTTTTATATAACAAAAAAAAAACTTTTTCCCTCGTAAAAAACAAAAAAAAAAAAATTGAAGTGTACCTAATTTTTAAATGTATCTGTAACCACGTTTTTTTTTTCTTCGGGGAGAAGGAGGAGAGGAGGGAGGGAGGAGGAAAAATAATTTTACGCATTTTGAATTGTTTGACACGATTCCAAAAAAAACGTTTTTTTTTTTTTTAAACGATCGATAGATTAATTCGTGTCGTCGACGAGTTTGTGCCACGTTATTTTATTTCGTGCCACGAAAAAAAAATAATAATAATAATATTTTTTATTTTTATTTTATTTTTCTCAACGTCGTATAAATATAAATTGTAATTTCCGTCGCGTTTTTCGTTCTTTTACCTAGAAAAAAAAAGGAAAAAAAAGAAAATCTTTATGGCCGGTGGGAGATTTTCCAACTTCCGGTGTCGTGTTTTCCTTTTTTTTTTTTTTTGGAAAAAAATCTTTAAGGTAGTTGGTGGTGAAAAATTGTTTGGAGTCGAAAAGTTTTTTTTTTTTCAGAGACGAGTCATCATCATTAAATCACGTCGGATTTTTTTATTCTTTTTCCACGACCAAAGTTTTTTTATTAAAAAAAAAAAAAAAAAATTTTTCTTTAGTTTTTTATTTTCATTTAAAAATTCAAAATGGTTTTCGAAATCGTTTTTTTTTTTTTTTTTAACGGAAAAAAAGTTAAATTATCAATGAACCTCGTTCGAAATAAGAAGAAGAAGAAGAAGAAGTAGTAAAAAAAAAAAGAAAAGTTTTTTCAAAATACGTGATGTCATAAATAAAATCATTAAACTCCTTTTTTTTTTTAAAGGCCAATTTAAATTTTTTATTTTACGCGCCCTTTTTTTTTTTATTCATTTTTTTTTTAAAGGTAAAAGAAAAATGGCGACTTGCTGCCGTTAGACCCGTTGAAGAGCTTATACCTGGAGTTTATCTCGAAGGAAGGACGGATTGCATGTATTTGGGTTCTTGATCGGTTAGAAACATATTAATAATAATAATAATCATCAGCAGCGTCGTCGAAGATCGTTACGATTATCATCATCATCATCATCGACGTAATAGTAAGATTTTATTTAAATAATTTTATCGAATTTTAATTTTATAATAATAATAATAATATCAACGATTATTAAAATGTTTGTTTATCTATACAAACAAGACAAACAAACAAAGACAAAACCGCCGAACCATTGCATTATTATTATTATTATTATTATAATCACTTGTAAATATTATACATATATATATAACGTATGTAAATTTTAAAAAAAATAAGCTCAAAATAATAATAATGATTAATATGAATTCGGAATAAGAGGGAGAGGGGGGGGGGAAATATTTTAAAAGGTGTGAGAGTTTTTTTTCGTTTTCTAAAACCACGACAAATGTTTTATTCCCGGTTTTTTTTTTATTTTTTATATATTCGTTCGTTTATGGAAGATAATTTTATTGTATTGTAATTTTTTTTTTTTCTTATTGTCGTGAGGTCGTGCTCGAGAGGTTTTCCTGTCGTCGTAATCCTGTTGGAAACTTTATTGTCTTGTTTTTCTGTTTTCTATTTTCGGTAAAATTTATTTCGTTTTTTTTTTTTTTCTCTTGCAAGTTATTCGGTTTTTATTTTTTTATTTATGAGACGTCTTTGAGTCTATAACTTTTTTTTTTTTTACCGTTTTATTTTTATTAACGCTAAAGTATTTATTTATTTTTTTTCGATTTAAGGTATACTGTTTCTCTCTCTCTATCTCTGTCTCTCTCTTTCTCTCTTTCATTTTGTCTTTATTTACTTATTAAATCGTTTTGAAATGATTACGGGTGTGTTAAATTCTTTTTTTTTTGTTGTATTGAATGTAATAGGATGATGATGATGAGGTGGAGCAGAACCGGAAATGAGGTTTTTTTCCCCTTCTTATCGATTCCCTCCGATTCTCCCATTTCCGTTTTAATTATTATTCCTTCGTGGAAGAAGTTTTTTAATAATAAAGAATAATTTTAAATTAAAAATTTTTACAAAATTTTTTTTTTTTTTTTTGGAAAAAGGGAAAAATGTTTTCTTCTTTTTCTTTTCATCCCCCCTCCCCCTCTCTTTCTCTCTCTTTCTTTATTTTTTCTTAAATTTTTTGTTTTTGTCTGTTCATCATTTCATTATTTTTTGTTACGTTAATTATCGAGTCGCAAAAAGAAATATTTTTTTTAGCCGATTAAATTTTATAAAATGCTTTATATTCGAACTAATTTACAAAAAAAAAAAAAATGGAAAAAAATTTTTTTTATGTAGAAGGTGAGAAAGAGAGAGAGAGGAGGAAGGGGAGAGGGAGAGGGAAAGAGAAAGAGAGAGAGAGAGAGACAGATTTAGAAGAAATGTTAAAAAAAATAAATGATCCTATTAAAAATGTTAAATTTTTGAAAATTTTAATAAAAATGTAATTAGGCGACATATTAATTATTCGACTAAAAGAGAGAGAGAGAAAGAAAAAGTTTAATTTTTTTTTTCTTTTCGTCTGTTCCAAATTAACAAATGCATTAAAGTTAAAGAGAGAGAGAGGGGGGAGGGGACGGGAGAGAGAGAGAGAGAGAAAAAAAACTTTAAAAAAAGCGCTGAAAAAAAAAAGGAAAAAAAAAAGAATTTTTTTTTTTTTTTTTTTTAGGAAAGAATAATTGGATGAATTTTTTAAAAGGTTCCATTTTAGTTTCCTTTGAATTTCAAATGTAAAATAAATATTTTTCCTTTTTTTCCCCCTCTCCCTTTTTTTCCTTTTTTTTTTCCTTTGTCAATAAATGTTAAATTGTTTTTTTTTCTTTTGGATAATTAAATAAAAACACCGATGAAAAGTTTTGAAAATCGTTCGTTGTTCTTTTTTTTAATAATAATAATAATAAAATAATAATAATATTATGTTGTCGTGTCAGTAGATTAATTATTTACTTATACCGAAAAGTAGGGTGGGGGAGGATTCGGGGATTCAGATTAAATTCATCGCATATCATTCGCTCATACAATCGCTAAAAAAAAAAAAAAATTTAATTTTTCGACGTGTATGTTTTAAACAAACGATACGATTGTTTTTGTCGTTTGTAGTTGTCGTTCTTACAAAACAAACACACTCGATAATAATAACAATAATAATAATAAGTCAACGGCCATACCGTGCTGGTCACACCGGTTCCCGTACGATCACCGAAGTTAAGCAGCATTGGGCGTGGTGCAAACTTGGATGGGTGACCGTTTGAGAACGCCACGTGCCGTTGGCTTAAAAAAGAGCAAAAAAAAAAAAAAAATGAGAACAAGACAAAGTAAGAACCAAAAAACAAATCTTGTTCTACTGTCGAACTGAGGCAGCTCGACGAGAATGTGAATTTCACTGCTTCTGACCCTGGCCACTCCAAAGATGTTAGTCACTGGAGCCCAGTTCAGGAGACAAATCGTTCCCATCGAATAAAGATGGACTCAGGAAGACCTTCAAGAATTGATGTGGTGCTATCTTATAATAAGTGGCACCACCGAAATTCGAGTATTTGTCCCTAAGGAATCGGGTAGAAACCTCGGATAAATACTTAAAAACTTCGACAAGTAGCCTTGTCGTGTTTAATGGTGGATAATAATAATAATAAAATTAACGACGAGTTAAGAAAACATTTTTTTTTTTTTTAAATTTTTTCGGTTTCCTTTTATAAATATTGTTATCACAATTATAACGGAAATAATTTTTTTTGATACCGGAAACGTTAAATTTTTGTTTGTCGGATCGATAAAAAATTCTTGATTTAAGGGTTGAAAACTTTTTTTCATTTTTTTTTCCAAGAAAATTTAATTAAGAAAAAGAAGGAAAAAAAATTTTTTTTTTTTTTATTAGTCTCTAATTGCGTGATGAAAGATTAGGTAACGAAACCTTTTTCGGTAAAACTTTTTAATTACGTGCCTGAAAATTTTTTTTATTTTTCAAATTTTGATTTTTTAACACACAAGAAAAGAAAAAACCCGACGGCGGTTTAAATAAGAAAAGTTTTCTGTTTTCCCAACGTACCAAATTTTATAAATAATCTTTATATATAAATATTTACACGAATGAATTTTTTTTTTTGGTATTTTAATATACATAAGCTAACTACTGCCAATTTTTTTTCTTTGTTTTTCCCGATCGCGTCGTATTCGTTTCTTTTCGTTTTTCATTATTACGAAATTTCCAATCGATTTCCAATCAATCGATCGATTTGAATGTGTACGTCTTATTATTATTATTATTATTTTACGATATTTTAAATGGAAATTTAATTTTAAAAGGGTATTTTTTAATTTCGACTTTTTTTTTTATATCTTTATTAATTTTAATTTAAGGTCGCCTGTGAGCTTTAAAACCTTTTTTAAATGTCAATTTTATTATTATTATTATTATTATTATTATTATTATTATTATTATTATTATTATGGTGACAACGCTTAAAAAGATTTTAAATAATAATATAATTTTTTTTTTTTTATTATCGTTTAAATTCACTTAAAAAATTAATTCTTGTTGTTTTTTGCACTTATTTATTTCAACAAAAAAAAAAATTATTGTAGATAAATTATGTATAAATAGATAATATTATTAAATAATAATAATAATAATAATAATAAATTATTTTATTTAAATCACGATTTTATTTAAAATTTATTAAAAATGAAAAAAAGAAAAGTAATAATAATAATTGAGGTTTTTTAAATTTCGAATTGTAGCTGTTTTTTTAAGGTATGCAACTTTAAATACACGTAAGTATAAAAAAAAGCATGGCTAAAAAAACCGATTTTTTTTTTTTTTTTTTTTTATCTCGGCGAACAATAATAAGGACCCGATTGAGGGTATTGATAATATTGATAATTGTTAAATGCTACGTCATTTCCGCCGTGATAAGGTGGTGCGGGTCCTCTTAAATGAGGTGGTCCGGCTGTCGGATCGTAAACGAAACTCGGAGGATGAGTCCTGTACTGTGACGATTCTCCCATGAATTGATATTGTCCGTATGTGCTAGAAAGAAAATAAAAAAAACGGGGGAGGGGGGTATGAATTTTTTTATCGTCTTACGCCACGTTTCACAATAATAAAAAAAAAGGGGGTTATTATTATTATTATTATTATTATTTATATTTGTTGAATTATTTTACAAACCAATGTGATGAAGTTTTTTCTTGTTCTAAACGAAAAGAATCAGATGTGGAAATTGAATCCCTCGGATCATATATTTTACCGTAAGAACAATCATTCCTTGGGGAACTCTCAGACAATTTTACATATCTAAAACAATTGGAGAACAAAAAGTAAGGAATTTTATTCCCGTAATAAATTATAAAAAAAAAAAAATTTTTTTATTTTTCGTTACCTGGATGTTGATGATGATGATGATGATTGTAGGTGTGATTTTTGCGTCATCAAATGACTATGATCACATAACGAATGAATTTTCGAACATTCTCCATAATTTCTTTCATCTCCTATATAATTCCTCGATTCGTTTAAACTTCTAGTACTTTCGTAAAGGATTCTCGAGTCATTTAAAGAACTTCTATTGTCCTGATGATAATTTTTAGGAACTTCCGCCGTTCTCGAATTAGATAAAAAAACCTTTGACGATGATGATGATGATGATGATCGGGGAGTATCACTTGCTGTAAATGATTTTTGACTCTCACTACTCGATGGGGATCTTATTTCCGGATATAATCTGCAAGTATCGGATTCGTGATACGAAGATGACGTGGGAACAGAAGGACCCGGTACGTCGTTATCGTTAACTATATTTGTCGCCATACTTTTCGGTGGTTTTCTCCTTCTCGGTTGATACTACAATAATAATAATAAATTTTTACATATATTAAGTTTTCGTTCTTTAATTAAAATTTTTTTTCGTTTTGTTCACCTTGTAATCCGGATGCTGTTTTTTATGAGCGTTTCGTAATCTTTCAGCTTCGTCGATAAACGGAAGTTTTTCTTCATCGCTTAATATTCTAGAAAAAAAAATACGATAAAAGATTTTCAAAAAAAAAAAATGAATAAATTTTTACCTCCAAAGCTTTCCGAGAGTTTTTGAAAGTTCCGCATTATGTAACTGAGGATATTGATCGGCCAACTTCCGTCGGGCTGCTTGTGCCCAAACCATAAAAGCATTCATTGGACGTTTTATGTGTTCCTTTCGCTTTGATCCGGATTTATGAGTTACAGGCAACATGGTCCAATCGTAACCTGAATCAAAGAGAACAAAGACAATGAAAACAATTCGGTTTTGGTAATGTCTACTACTTCTCTTCTTTCTGAATTTCCACCGCTCCTACCACCACCACCGCCGCCGCCACCGCTTCATTTGGCCTATATTTCTTCCAGCCTCCCTTCCAGCCTTCCTTTCAACCTCCCTTTCACCCTCCCTTTCACCCTCCCTTTCTTCCTTCCCGTTTGTTTCGTCACCTTTTTTTATTATAATTATTATTATTTTTTGTCTCTTCTTCTCTTTTTATTTGTTCCCTTTGTCTAACCCGGTTTTGTTGTTTTTCACCTCAGGAGACTTTGTGAAAAATTAATAATATTGGTTGTTGAAAATGCTTAACGAATTTATGCTTCCACAACTTTTCTTCCTTTCTTCCTTTCTTTCTGTCTTTTTTTTCTTTTTTTTAATAATTAAACTTTATCAAAAGAGAAGTTTTTTCAAAGAATAAGAAATAGTAATAATAATAATAATAATAATAATAATAATAATAATAATAAAAAGAAATAAAAAAAAAAAAAGAAAAAGTATTGAATGCAAAAATTTTAAAGTGAAAAACTTATTTAAGCAATCGAGGAGGAATCGTTTAATTGGTGTAGAAAAAAGAAACCTTTGTCACAAAGAAAATTTTAAATTAAGACGAACGGATCAGACATTGTGCTATAAAATTGATATTAATTAAAAAGAAAGAAAGAAAGAAAGGAAAAAAAAGAGAAAAAGATATATAGACAGAGGGAGAGAGAATTAAATAAATTCGTTTGCCGAATTAAAAAAATAAAAAAAAAATGGCGGGAACGTAACGAAATTTAAAAGTGTAATTTTTTATATTTTTTTCTCCCGAAATTTAAATTTAAATAAAATTATATGTAATAAAATAATTTTATATATAAATCAAAAAAAATTTTGCTACGATTCATAAATAATATTACAAAAAAATTTGCTACGAGAAAAAAGCAAAAAAAAAAAAAATATAAGTTTTGTTAAAATTTGTTTATAAATATTGACAATTATTGACGTCATAAACTTTTCAAAAAGTTGGTTTCACTTCCTTTATGAAGTTTACTATTGCTAGCAGACGTTTTCGTGTCAATAGAAAAAATCGAACCGTATTTATTCATAACAAAAAGGAATTTAAACAAACCGAGTCGAAAAATATTTTACCTTAAAAAAAAAAACTAATAATTATTATTATTATTGTTTATTATCGACCGCTTTATCATCATCATCATCACTATCATCATCACTATCATCATCATCATCATTGTCATTATTATCATTATTATTATTATTATCTTTTACTTAAATATTTGAAAAAACAAAAAAAGGACGAAAAAGTGTCGAATATTTTTTTTCTTATGTTTGACATCGTTTCATAAAAATCGGCGAAAAAAATTTTTTGTTTTTTTTTTTAAAATTTCATTGTTGCCAACAAATAAAAAAAAAAAATTTTGAAATAAAATCAAAAAAAAAAAAATTTTCTTTTCGGTTAAAAAATCAGAGGAAAAAAAAAAGAAAAAAAATTTTTTTTTTTTTTCTTTTTTTCGTTGGTTCGTTCGTTCCATTATTTGCTCAATTTATTAGACTAATTTACACGTGAACGGCTTCTGCTTCCACTTCTTCTTCTTCTTCTTTAATTTTTCCATGAATAATTTTTTTTTCATTCATTTACAACAACGAAAAAAACAAAAAAAAAAATTAAAAAACGTTTCGTGTTGTACGTAGATTTTTTTGTTCCATTTAAAAAAATTTTTGCGATTTGAAAAAGAAAAAAAAACCGCGAAAATTTTATAGCGATTATAGAGAAGTAAGTGACAAATACTATTATATAAAAAAATTCACGCTATAATATAGTATATAAAAAAAAATGTGTGGCACCATAAACCTAATTCATAAATTTTTTTATGGATAAAAATTAAATAAATAAATGTTGTGTTGTTCGTCTGCTAGAATAGAATGAAAGGAAGGGTGGGGAGAGAAGGGGTATGGGAAGGGAGGGGAAGTGAGGAGACAGGAAAGGGAAAAAAAAATAAAAAAAATTTATTTTGATGAACGTATGATGAAATGAACTTTACCCCAACAGAATTTTTTTTTTTTCGGACTTTTAAT